ATATCGATTTGCAAACAATTCATATCGATTTGAAAACACAAAGCTTATGCCGAGGTTAGATTACACCCACTCTCTATTGAGCATTTGTTCTCATTAGTTTATGGGGTGGTTATTTGACAATAAGCATCCTATTGCATTCATCCTGATTTGCGTCCATTCCTTTCTCCCACATTTTTCAGTGAATTTCCCTGCGACTTTTCCAAATCACAAAAGCCTTTTTTTAAAAAAAAGAAAAGGTGGATTTGTTGTGCTAGGGCGACAAGAGCACTTCAATCCACTTCAACTCCACAAACCTAAATTCTCAATATGCACTTGAATCCATCCTTCAAAATATTGACAGTCTGCATACCTGAGGCAGCCTTAAACAGTTTGCTGGCAAACTGGGTATGAACACCCCAGTTCCAAGGCGGCAACAACAACAACAACAACAACAACAACAACAACAACAACAACAACATTTATTGTCAATGTAGAACCTGTGTACAATGAAATTAACCGAGCCTCCCCCACACAAACACTCAATCTCATGCACTCTGTGTGCTTGTCGCAGAACACACCAAGGAAGAACTTTCAGATTAGCATATATCCTTAATTGCCACATCTCCCTGTGAAACTTTAGCAGGGAGGAAACTAATGTGCTTTGGGGACAGGTTGAAAACAGGATCTCCTTCCTCCACTGTCATTGGGAAGACACCATCTCTTGGTACCTCTAAGAATGGGAATGCTCCTATATTTGTCTCCAATAGTGAACAGAATCTTTTCACCATGTGCATCCTAGGTAGAGAACAAAGAGGAACCCCCGTGGCCTGTCCATTATCAACCTGTGGGGTTTTTCCCACCCCTTTTGTGTTTTGGAGTCTCTATGCCACCATGGTGCTCTGGGTTTTGGATCGATGGAGTTGAGAAGGAAAGCAGGTGGCACCAAGGCAGTAAAAGCTCTCACTGGCATTGTCCCAGCCTCTTGTATCAACCCATGCTGTGCCCACAGGAGAGTGAGCTCTGGGTTCTCAGAAACCCTGGAGCTGCAGTGGAAGGGAGGTTCAGCCAGAAAGAAGCATTGATGCAGCACATGGTGAGAACGAATTATGTGATTGTGTGTGTGATGAGGCGCCTAATGGCACTGGTACCTGCCGCACCAACTCTGTGTGAGACTAAAAACCCTGTGAAACTAATTTCAAGCTCTATCACCAACACTGAGTTGGGCAGCTTTGAAAACAATCTCATCTCATCTTGGTCTTGAAGAATTCCCTCTGTACTATAAATGAGAAGTCTTCTTCCTTCCCCCACAACCCAAAAGCATTCAGCATTTCGTGTCTGGCCTTCCCAAAAATATAGGGAAAGATCTAAAGATACAGTGACTTAAGCAAAACAAAACAGCAACACGCCTTTCCTTGTCTCCAGAATGAAACAAAATAGGATGATCACTCTGGCTTTGAATGGGTTGTTGTTGTTTTTAAAAAGATCTCTTTCAAAACTGTGACATTTTGACTGATGGTATCTTCATGGCTGAAGCCAGAGGAACAAAATGTTGAAAAGCCTCAATTTGACATTTCAGATGCAAAGCATAAAAAGGATTTCATTAAGAAATCCATGGCCCTTGAAGTGGAAAACAACAACAACCCTGTAACAGAAAGTTTGTTTCAAGACAACATTAATGCAAAAAGAGCCCTGCCCATATAGTCTAGCATCCTGCTTTCACGGTGGCCAACCAGGTGCTCTTGGGGATAGGAACCTGCTCTATACTAAGTCAAATCCACTGGTCCACTTAGCTCACCATTGTCTGCACCGACTGGCAGTGGTTTTCCAGGGTTTCAGGCAGGCGTCTCTCCCAGCCCTACCTGGACATGCCAAGGATTGAAACTGGGACCTTCTGCATGCAAAGCAACTGCTCTACTGCTCAGCTATGCCTCTAATGGGAAGCCTGCTGGCAGGACTGCAGTACAGCAGCCCTCTCTTCCCTCTTGTGATTCCCAGCAAGTGGTATTCAGAGACATCTGCTGGCCTTTGAGCCGGTTTTTGCATTCTGTTGGTTTCTGTGTATCTTAGACTAATACAGTGGTACCTCTGGTTGCAAATGGGATCTGTTCCAGAGTCCCATTCGCAACATGAGCTGAACACAACCTGCGTCTGCGCGTGCGTGGGTTGCGATTTGCCACGTTTGCGCATGTGCATGACATCATTTTAAGCATCTGCACATGAGCAAGCGGCGAAACCCAGAAGTAACCCTTTCCGGTACTTCCGGGTCGCCGTGGGACACAACCTGAAAAAACATATCATGAAGCAAATGCAACACGAGGTATGACTTTATGTGCAAGGAAGCCCTGCAGGCAGCACTGAGGAAATGTAGTGCTGGGTGCTCGTTACTCTGTGCTGTGTTTCAGACCATACCCAGCAGTTCCTTAAAGCCTTGATCCTAAATCAGGGTTGGGGAATCTCAGGTACAAGATCCACGTGGGCCCCTCCAAGCTTCTCTGACTAGCCCTTGGCTCCCCCAGGCCTGGCCCCCTCCTCAGCTCACCAGGTCACAGCACTCACCAGCCCCCTTTCTTACTCTCTTTTATTGTTTTCTGTCTGGCTGGGGAATGTTTCCTTGCATATGAGCCAACTCCCAGGGACTGTGGGGGCTTCGGCCCCCACAATAAAATATTTGAGGGGGCTGGGCCCTCACAAAGTTTATGGGCATTGCCATTCAAATGGTGCGTGCGCACTGTGTCATGTGAACAGTTATGTGGGGTGGGGCTTACCTGGGCCCGCACACTATATCTTATTCAAGTTGGCACCCCTGTTTTCTGGAACTTTGATATGCCTCTTGCTTGTCTGGATGTGTTAAGAGTTGCTGTAATGGAATCCCTAATCTGGACCTTGTGCAGAGTAGAAATGGATGCTCTGCACCACAAAACACGTTTCAAAACTTTGCTGGAAACAGCCTTAAAATAGTTACAAATAAACATTACATGATACAAAGTAACACATTGCTCTTTAACAAACTAGCAGGGCAGTCCCATCTTCCTTTAGGTCCTTAATACACTTCAATGAACTTTCTCTGGTCCCAGAGAAAGATCCTTAGCAACTTGCTTGTTCAATATCACAGAACTTAGCTACTACTGTTACTGGCTCCATCGCTGGCCAAACACTTAGTTCTCAGGTTTCACCTTCCTGCTGTGAGAAATAACTGCGTGGTTTTCCAGTAACAAGTAATCAGTTAGCCTGAATACTGAAACTGAAGCATCCAAACTTTTCTGGTGCCTTTGCCAGAGTGAACCCCCGTTTTTCAGACCTTTGCAAAAAAAATTCAAACTTCAATGCATACAACTGTTACATTTTATGCATATTGAGCTTATATCTTTAACAAGATGGAGGGTAGAGAAGGTTGTGTGAGTGTGCGTGGAAACTAGCATACTGTGCAAAGGTAAAATCTATATTGGTTGCTCGGCCCAGTTTTGCCTCCAGTCCTGACCACCACTGGCACTTGGTCCCTGCAAGCAGTGGTGTAGCACCTGTTGCCAGTGCCCGGGGTCGTGCAGATGGGAGGGTGGGAGGGAGGGAAAGGGATGTACACATGCACATTCAACAGCATCCGTGTCACCCAGGAGATTGCAACTGCAGAGATAAGAAAAGAAGAGTTGTTCTGCTGTCTGGAGAAGTCACTTTGCTGGATTAGATAAATGTTTGATCTGATCTAGCTGACTACATAGGAAGCTGCCTTATATGGAGACAGACCTTTGGCCCATCTACTTCAGCATTGTCTACACTGACTGGTAGCAGCTGTCCAGGGTTTCTGGCAGGGGACATGCCCAGTCCTACCTAGAGATGCTGGGATTGAGCCTGGAGCCTTCTGTATGCAAAGCATGTGCTTCACCAGTAAGTTACAGCCAGCACTGGGTGGTCCATGAGAACTATAGTAAATGATCTAGTAATCTCTATATTGGCCACTGCATGCTTCCCCATCATACAGAAATGGAAAACATTATGGGGCTTGGACCTTATGCTTTGGGACGAGAACCTTTGGAACACAGTGGTACCTTGGGTTACAGACACTTCAGGTTACAGGCGCTTCAGGTTACAGACTCCGCTAACCCAGAAATAGTACCTCGGGTTAAGAACTTTGCCCCAGGATGAGAACATAAATTGCGCAGTGGCGGGGCTGCGGCAGGAGGAGGCCCCATTAGCTAAAGTGGTACCTCAGGTTAAAAACTGTTTCAGGTTAAGAACGGACCTCTGAAACGAATTAAATTCTTACCCTGAGGCTATATTGGGGAAAATACACCCCACCTCCTAAAACTGAAAGTCACGGCTACACCAGATACATGATGTGCTGTTTTGCAGAATTTCTGTTTTGTGCATGAATAAACACCACTTACAACAACTTACATGGACTTCCCGCAAGACCTGGAACTCTGGAGTTAACTTTTCTTTTGCCATTGAACACGATATGTGGTTGGTGCCACTCCTTTTTTTCCCCATATGATTTTCCAAAAGTATACAACCATTATATATTACCATTACATAACCATCATTATATCATTTGCTCTGCCGAGCTGCGACTTCCCTCCATCCCTCTTCTGGCTTCTTTCTGTTTTAATCTTATTTTGCACATTTATAACATCTCCATCCTATATTTAACCTAACTTTTCACTTTTGTCCCTATTAGAATGTTAATTTCCTTCACGTAGTGAGTTTTATCTCAGCCCTGCTAGTGATTTTATATGTACACAATATAAAATCTAAATATGTTACAAATTTACACGATTCTTCCTGGAACACCTGGTGGTTTGTGCCACTCTTGGGTACCTTTTTGTTTGTTTTTAGCATTCTTTTTCTCAGAGCAATACTATTTCACACGAAGAAAGAAAAAAGAAGAGAAGAGAGAGCAGCTGAGTCCTTGAATTGTGTGCAAAGCAACCTCCCCACCACCCACTAGTATAATGCATTGGTGTATGTGTGTGCATGCGCTCCTTTCAGTAATAGGTGCATCTTTACACACACTTTACTTTAGGACATGTAGCTCAGTTGGTGGAGCAGGAGACTCTTAATCTCAGAGTTGTGTGTTCGAGCCCTACGCTGGGCAAAAGATTCCCACATTGCAGGGGATTGGAGTAGTGGATCCTTGTGGTCCCTTCCAACTCTGTGATTCTTTTATTCTCTGATTTCTGCCCTCATCCTGCAGCTGTAGAACTGCAATGCAAACTCCAAGGAAGTGCAGATTTCAAAAGCAAGCTGTGCATTGGATCAGTATTGTTTCGAAAAGCGTGAATCAAGTAGGTTCACCACCAGGATAAGGGCCAGGAGTCCTACCATGTGGCCTGGTCAGCGTCTGCTTCACTGTCCGAGGACTGGGCGTTTGGGGGTCTGGACTGAGCTGAGTCCTTTCCTGGAGGAGTTTATGATTGTTGATCCCAGATATCTTAGCTGGGGTTGTGATTAAAGGGCATCAATGCCTGCAAGCTGGATTAAGTTTGGGAGGGGGAGGGGGGAGGAAATACACCCCCTCCCAATTCTCTGTGTGAAGAATTTCTGGGTCTGAGTCGACTCAGGATTAGTGCTTTCTACAAAGGCCAGAGGAGAGCATTGTGGGGCAATCTAGACCTTGAGCTGCTCGCTGTGGGAGGCATCTACTGATCTCTGCAGATGAAGAGGAGAAAAAGGCCTCTGTGTCCAAGCCCAGATACCCGCAGTTGCAGTGGAGGGAAGGCAAGGAGAAGAAAAACCCTCCTGGCTGCAAGGAGGCAGGTGTAATATTCCCTTTGAATAGAGATTGTGTGCAGAAGGGGGGAAAAATAAAAAGTGCAAGGCTTGGCTTTAGGTGGGGGGAGAGGGGGAACCACCACACTAAATATGCCCCTATGCAAGAGTGGGAGATTCTGGCCCCTGTTTAGCTTGGCAAATAAAAGAGGCAGAAACAACAAAATGAAATTTAATGCCTGCAATCTCCTGGGAATGCCTCCCCAACCCCCCAACCCCCAAGGAAAACACACTCAGTCTCCCCCCCCCAAAAAAAGGGAGGCATGGGAGAATTGGCTGCTGAATCCGCTATGCCACTTAGAATAAAATTTAATTGAAATTAATAGACATGAGTAAGGATTTGGTGGGATGTAACCCTGAATACCCAGAAGAACCAGATATGAATCTGTGTCTAGTGAACTGCCCCGAGGACTGAGTTAATGAAGGCGGGGTATATAAATGCAACAAATAAAAAAATAAAATATCCCACTACCCTTTAAAAAAACTAATGGAGGGTTATGTGGTCCATTTTTCTCCTCATGGTCACCCTGTGGGGTAGACTTGACTGAGAGATAGTCACTGGTCCAAAGTCATCCAGCAGGCTTCTTGACTTAGCCAGAATTTGAAACCAAGTCCTCAGTTCTAGGCCAGTGCTCTAAGCACCTCTCCACATGGACTCTCTGGAAGATTCTTCTTAAACCCTAATGGTCACATGAAGGAGGGTTTCCTGAAATGTCCCCAATACATTTTGCCACGAGGCAAAACATAAAATGGCACCTGCCATCCCTGCCTCCTGCAGCCTCCTCCTTCTCCCTCTCCACACCTCTTCCTCTGCTGCTGCCACTTGAGGTGACTGGAGATGGTCCAAGGAAACCCTCAGTGTGCTAAGTGTGGTGGGGAGAAAAAAATCTGGGGAGGAACAGGTGGTGGCAGCAGCAGCCCTGCTCTTCTCAGAAGGTTTCTTTGGATAACAAGCTCAAGAGGTGGTGAGCATTGTGCACCTCAGGGGCCCAAATCTTTCACCCTTTGCAGCCTGAGGCGACTGCCTCATCAAGCCTAATGGGTGGGCCAGCCCTGACTGTGCCCCAGTGGCATGAGGTGAAATTTTTAATAGGGGAACAGTTGGGGCCAGAGGTGCTAGCTTGCAAGGGGCATGTGACGTTGTGACGTCATGTACATGAGCATTGTGCCTCCGTCCCTAAGCCGGGCAGAAGCTTCCCGGGCTATGGGAAGGAGGAACCAGGGGAACATTTAGGGGACTAGCTTAGTCCCCTTAGTCCAGGGGTCAGCAAACTTTTTCCACAGGGGGCCATTGTCCCTCAGACCTTGTGGAGGGCCAGACTATATATTTTTTAAAAAATGAATTCCTATGTATACTGCAAGGGGAGCAAATAGTCCTCCTCCCCACCCCCAGCCCCCTTCTCGGTTTGCCGCCTTCCTCATTCGCCAAAGGGCTGGCGGTGGTGGCACAAAACAGGCTTCCTCCCCACCTAGAGAAAGAAGGTGCTGCACTTACCTTCCCAGGGGCTGCCACCACCACCACCACCGCTGATGCTGATGCTTCTTGTGAAGCAGGTAGGCAGAGGGAGCTTGTCTGCTCCACTCTCTGGCCCACAGGAGCACCAGGGCGGCGGTGACAGCGATGGGAGGAAGGGGCCAAGAGACGGCGGCTCTGCCAATCTAACACCGCACCTGGTTGAGCTCAGACCAATCAAACACCACTGAGGTAAACCAGGCACGGCATTTGATTGGCAGAGCCACCACCACTCACCCTCTTCCTCCCGTCGCCATTGCCAGGAATCTTGGCTTCGTGGCGGGTTCTGGCTTCACAGCGCGGGCCGGATTTGGGACCCAGGTGGGCCTGATCCAGCCCGGGGGATGTAGTTTGCTGACCCCTGCCTCAGTCCAATGACTGCATGTTTCATATTTCATACGGCTTTATGCCAGGGTGGTGAACCTGTGAGTGTACCTCTCGCATTTGGGCACACAAACCCATTGCAAACCTGCAGCAGAGCTCTCGCTATACTTTCCCAGGAGGACTTTAAGGCCACTTCCAGACTGCTGCTACCTTCAGGTAGCATTCAATCCCTGTACTGTAATGGCAAACTCAGGTTGTGCAATTATTGTTGACCTGGAGGTCTTGTGCAACAAACCTGCTTCTTTTCCTATAGATAAGACTCTTTGACGTAAGGAACGTGAAGGGGGAAATGCAATGGAAAGTGTGGGGCAATACTTGCTTGAAAGCATCATCATCAAACCTTCTCACAAGCAAATCAGAAGGAATGCTTGATGAAAAGGCTGTCTAAAAGTGGCCCAAGTCTGCAGGCAGCCACAGACAGTTTGGGGTCTTCTGTCACCCTAGACGGAACATGGCAGGGGAGAGATATCCAAGATCAACAAGAAAGGATAGTTGCTTGATAGATTTGGTTCCCAACATGTTCTGAGAGCATCCTGTATCAAGATAATGCTTCCTGCTGCCAAACGCTTGGGACAAGGTCTGCTTCCAGATGTGGATTGTTCTTGTAGAGAATTCATCCTGATTTGCTTGTGCTAAGCTGGTAGACAGTTGTGATGCTGCCAGCTATTATTTATTGAGTCTATTATTCTTGACAATATTATTTGTTTTGGGGGAGGTTAGAGGATGTTGTGCCAAGCAATTGCTATCTCACACTTTCCGGGACATTTCCCCTTCACTTTCCTTGCAGAAAAAGTCCAATTTGGAGGAGGCCAAGTGGGTTTGTTGTGCAAAGACCTCAAAATCAAAACCCTATACAAATCCCATCTGAAATTATTGTGAGCTTGGAAGTGCCCTTAGTTGAACAAGGCTTTTTACAGAGCTTTGAAGCCTTGTGTTTCTTTTATTTAATTGCTGCTGCAAATTGAGTTGGTGCTTTCGAGTTCTGAACATTTTAATAGCACAAAGTTGTTCAAATCCAACTGCTTTGTATGTCATTTTGGATACAGGGTGGGAACATGATTCACAAGTCCCTGAAACAATATGCAATCAAGCAAAATAAATTGGCAATCTTATAAAGGGGAAGGTGCAGACAAGCTGCACTGAAAGGAGGTGGAGCTGTGGTGTTGTTGTTGGGTTGGTTGTTTTTTTTGGGGGGGGACCTGCTGTAAGGAAAGGAATGCTTGATCACAAGGGCTAGCACACTCATGAGGCAAGGTGAGGTGACCGTCTCAGGCGGCAGGTTCCACAGGGGCAGCAGATTCTGATGTAGATCTTTATTTTCCCCTTGTTCCTGAGGTAGATCTTAATTCACCCCTTCTTCCCTGGCAGGCAGGGAGACACCATTTTGAGATTTGGCTCAGGTACCAAAATGTCTTGGGCCAGCACTGTCGATCATACTCATCACAGCCATAACTGAGTACTTGCATAGAACTGTATCCTATGATGTTATTGAGCTGATGCCTGAGAATAATTGAACAATATTTTCCTCTTTGTCCTCCAGTGGGGCCTGCATAGAAGGTGTCCCCAAAGACAAAGGCTCATCTGTGCTATACATTTAAAGCACTATCACACCACTTTAAATACTCATGGCTTCCCCCAATGAATCATGGGAACTGAAGCTTGTTAAGGGGGCTGAGGGCTGCTATTCCCCTCCCAGAGCTGCAATTCTCAGAGTGGGTTAAAAACACAGGAGCCAGCGCCTAGAGGCTGAAGTCCCTTCGGTCCCCCCAATAAAATATTTGAGCACCCCCCCACAAGTTGATGGGCACTGCCATTCAGATGGTGTGTGTCTTGTGATGGATTATACAGGGTGGGGGCACCCCTGGTTAACAACCAATCACTCTTCCCAGGGAACTGTAGCTTTCTTTGGGGAATAAACTCTCAGCTGGAATATTTGGGGAAATCCATGACTGTTTAAAATGATATGATACTTCTTTGAACATAGGATGCCAAGGGGGACAAAGATGTGATGTCTTCAAATGGTTTTAGGTGGGGGTTTATTGTGGGATTGGTGTTGCTTATGCATATATATATATCTACATGATATCACCAGCTTTAAAATGACAGCCTTTCCCTCCTCTGTTTGTCCGGATTTACCCTTCCTGGTGCATGTACATGTGGGGGTGGGATACTGATAAGCTGAAAAACAACAGCAGCACTGTTTGCTAACAACCTGTTTGCGGATTAAGCATCCATAAATGCTTCCCTTCTGCATCAGGACACGATAAACGGCTCCTGTATGGAAACAAAGGTCTACCCAAAGATTCCCTTAGAAAAATGTTGGAGAGTTTTAGGTTTTTTTCCAGATGACCTGTTTTTTGAGTGTTCGTCCTGTTTGCACAAAGCTCATGGGGAGGTTAGACAACACCAGCTATTTATTGAACATCCATTCC